GAAAATTAAATGCATCATTCAATCATACATACATATAGTGAGTAAATATATAAAGTTACATATATGGGTTCATCACCTATCTATGAGTTCCATTTTAGCCCATACCCCTGGAAATGGAGCTATCACAAAAGTGTACATTCTGAAGGACAGGAACATGTAACAATCATCTTTAACTTCTGAGGCTATGGCACAGTGCCTGCCACACTGGAGGTCCTGAAGAATTTGTTGTGGTTGTCAGTGAGCTGATTCCAATCTTAATTCACTGAACTGTACTGGTTGTTCAGATAAAAACCAATGACCCCCTTGCTACATTAAAAGGCATTTCACAACCTTCAACCTTTTGGTCTTTGACACTTTACTTCTGTGACAGTCCTCCTGAGTCTCTGTTTCTTTAACTTTTCTCATTTTACTCCCTATTTGTAGTTGTCCTTAAATTTCTGTTGTAACTCTTTGCTTTTCTGTATACTTCCTTATGATCTACTTTAGTGGTATCACCTCTAACTGCTATGCTGGAAACTCTCATATATTTATCTCTAGCCTGCTATGTTAATCTTCTAGCCTCCAATTTCTCTGGTGTTAAACATTTTTAAAATTTTCATATCAGGCAGAGTTACAAAAGGAAAAAGCATATTCAAAATGGATAATTGAGTATAATTTGGTAAGGGCAATATTAACAAACATGTAGATAGGGTTTAGGAAAATCAAAAAAGCAATGGTAGGCTGGGCCCAGTGGCTCATCCCTGTAATTCCAGCACTTTGGGAGGCGAGGGCGGGCTGATCATTTGATGTCATCAGTTGGAGACCAGCCTGGCCAACATGGTGAAAACCCATTTCTACTAAAAACACAAAAATCAGCCAGTGTGGTGGCAAGGACCTTTCATTCCAGCTACCCGCAAGGCTGAGGCAGAACTGCTTGAACCCAAGAGACAGAAGTTGCAGTGAGCCAATATTGCACCACTGCACTCCAGCTTGGGTGACAGAATGAGAGAGACTCCATTGCCAAAAAAAAAAGCAATGGTATTGCTAAAAAGAAAATAAAAACGACAACATCAACGATTGAGCAGTGAGTAAAAAAGTTTAACTACAAAGAAGGGATCTAGATTCATCATACAACTAGGCTCTGGGTGGTAAAGATAGTTCTTTTTAAACCAAAAGATCCTTATTGGTATTAGGAGAGTAAACTTTCCAGGTGTTGCTCATTAGCTTGTGGTATCCTGGGCTTACCAATTAGGCTAGTGCTAGGTGGCTGGAAGTTCATGCTATAAGCCTGGGAAGTCCATCTCGGAATTATGGCTTCCAGGTACCTCTGTTTCCTATGGTGCCTGCCTTGGGAGTGTCTGTTCTTTATGTGAACTATCCAATTCAGTACTCTCTTGTCTAGTCAGGAATAGGTAGCAGCAGGTTAGGTGCCACACCTAGTGTCAGGTTCCAGCCCATGCTGAGGTCTGAAGGGAGTGGTTAGATGGGTGGCAGATAGCTAGCTGAAAGAACACTCGGGGGGTTGTAGGCAGATGGTTTTACCCAGCAGCTCTCATACATTGTCTGTTTCTGTCTCAGCTGCCTGCTCTGGCCCTGCGGCTTCTGCCACTCCCACAACTGCAGCTGCATTCTCTGGTCTGCGAAACCAGCTCTCCCTTACAGGGTGGGCAGCTTAATTCTCTCTGGGCATGAGCCAAGCCATGCTGTGCTGTATGTACAGCATCATCAGGGCAGTTACACGTTTTACAAACAAAAGTGGCTCTGAACCAGGCGATGAACCTTCCCATTTTATACCTACATAGCTGTGATTATATAGCAAGTAGAGTTATGCGCCTGTACTCCAAATTCACTGAGTCACGCAGAATGTTTACCTCGGCCTACTCTTGACCAAAGCACATCCATTTTCCTTACACTAAGTGGCTGGCCCAGAGTTTCTCTGATTAGTATCTGGGCGCTACCAACAGCTTGGAGTGATTTCGACTTCCATGTCTAAAGAGACAACAGAAGACAGTGATTGCAGGAACCCTAAGAGAGTAATGGTGTGACAAGAACTGTGGTCTTTGGTGGAGACACAGCCAGCCTGTGAACACAGCAGGAAGGAAGCCAAGAGAATTACTAACTGGATCTCATTTTCTTCTATCCTCCAATCTCTTAACAAGAAGCTCCAACAGAGGATTCTATTGATGCAGTCCATGTAGGCAGGTTCCTAGAGCCTAGAGCAGAGTAAAGAAAGGTAAAGAGTAGACCTGGAGGGACACATGGTGTCCCTGTTAGAGCTAACTTTTACAATGCCTCTTTTCATCTTGCTTTCATAAGCCCTGTTCCCCCCTTCATGTCCTCTATAGCTCATGTAGTGGAGATCATTTCTACTTGCTTCTTAGGCAAAACTGGAAGGACAGTTGGGAATAATAAGAATCCATTTGTTCTGGATTAACTGTACTCCCCCACCCCCACCCAAATTCATAGGTTGAAGCCCCAACCCCCAATATGATTCTAAGTAGAGGTAGGACCTATAACTTTTAAGGAGGTAATTAAAGTTAAGTGACATCATCAGAGTGGATCCTTAATCTAATAGGCCTGGTGTCCTTGTAAGGAAGAGGATCAGGCTAGTACTGTATGTGCATGTGTGTGTGCACAGAGAAAAGGCCATGTGAAGACACAGTAAGAAGACAGCCATTTAAAAGTGAAGGAGAGAGGCCTTAGGAGACACCAACACTACCAGCACTTGGATCTTGGACTCCCAGTCTCCAGAATAGTGAGAAATAAATTTCTTTTAAGTCACTCAGTCTTTACTATTTTTATAGCAACCCTAGTTGATTAGCTGAGTAGACACCATTGTTTATAAACATCTTTTATCAAGTATCCTATATTTTCGTTCTTTATAAACATCATCCACTATAACCTTTTACCGTCACAATCCTAGAAAGCAGGTGTTACTGATCCAAGACTCACGGACAAGGAAGCTGAGGTTCTGAGAGGTTAGGAGTTTGGGCATGGCCATAAAATTTAAGTAGCAAGGCCAGGCCCGGTGGCTCATGCCTGTAATCCCAGCACTTTGGGAGGCCCAGGCAGGCGGATCACCTTTGGTCAGGAGTTTGAGACCAGGCTGGCTAACATGGTGAAATCCTGTCTCTATTAAAAATATAAAAAAGTAGCTGGGTGTGGTGGTTCGCACCTGTAATCCCAGCTACCTGGGGGGCTGGGACAGGAGAATCACTTGAACCCAGGAAGCGGAAGTTGTGGTGAACCGAGATCGTGCCAGTGCCCTCCAGCCTGGGCAACAGAGTGAGACTCTGTCTCAAAAAAAAAAAAAAAAAAGTAGTGGAACTTATGTTTATCCATTAAAACCACTACAATGTGCTGATATCACATCAAAAAGGAATGTAATTACTGTGCCTCTTGTGCGGCTGAGTTCAGTTAAGAATTACTTATTTTCTTTCTGCAACACCTTGAGCTTTCTCTTTCCTCACTTCCCGGGCTCCAGCTATCACACAATTTGACGACTCTCAAGTCTTTAATGTCATCCTAGTCCTTTTTCTTTAGTTCCAGACTCACCCTTCTCACGATCTACTGTACCTCTCATTTGGATATCCTACAGGCATTTTAACTCATTTTTAAAAGCTACACGATTGAAATGTTTGAGTTCTTTTAAACTCCTCTGTCATCTTACTAAATTGGCCCAATAATTGTTTCTCAAACATATTCTTTCCTCTTCACTTCCACTGCAGATGCTTTCATAATTGAGTTCCTGGATCACCCTCGCTGCTACCCGATGGCTTTTCTAAAGACGCTTTTTCTATTTTCTTTTCTTTTTTTAAATTTTTTTCAGGCAGAGTCTGGCTCTGTCACACAGGCTGGAGTGCAGTGGTGCAATCATGGCTCCCTGCAGCCTTGACCTCCCCACCTCAAGGAATCCTCCCACCTCAGCCTCCCGAGTAGCTGGGACCACAGGCGCACCCCACGACGCCCGGCTAATTTTTTCTATTTCCGGTAGAGACGGGGGTTTCACCACGCTGCCCAGGCTGTAAACACACTTGTAATCGCAAAACTGCCCTGCAGTGATTCTTCCATTCTCTTCCCGACAAAATCCGAATTCCTTAGCTAGCCATTATCTAACCTTGACCTTCCCTCCAATTTCATCTCCCCAGCTAAATCCAAAGACAAATAATTTGCCACCTAGCCTAATATTTAAAAGAGTACACTGGCATTAGCCTACCTTGATTTGAAATCACAGAACCTACTGAGCAGGGATTAAATGAGCTAGTACACATACATAGAACTTATCTCTGGCGTGGTTCCTCATGTGGTAAATATTAGCTATTCTCATCCACCCTCTCAACAACCCATGCATTTACACCTGGTGGCCCCCTTGCCTGGAATATTCTCTCTCCCCATCCATCTCACCCCTGCTTCTCTTTCAAGATTCAATCCAGGAGTCAGATTCCTAGCAAGTTTACCCTGCCCCACCTTCCCATCTCGTTTGTCTCCATCGCTTCCTATTCAACTTATTGTTTGCGTCGGTCACAAGACCGTGAACTTCCTTAAGGAGGGAGAGTGTCATCTTTTTGGTCAAAATCTAAACACAGGTGCACGATACTTTCTGAATGACAGCACAGGGAGTGCCCCATATGTAATGAAGCCTGTTAATAAATTTTTCCTCAACCTTAATTTGTCTTGTGCGTGGATCTGCCCCGAATACACTACAGGAGCACCTTCAAAGTACTTCCAAAGGGTGCCTTGAACAGCAACTAAGAAGCCTGGAGTAAAACAAGTGCCCTTTTACCGTTCCAACCCATGAACCTAGGTAGAAGCCTCAGGTCTGGAAAACGCGGAGGAATACACCAACTTTTGAGTCTCAGTCTGCGCCTGCGCACGTGACCATTATACGTCTGCGCCTGCGCCGCTCAAGGTAGCACGGGCTACTCAGTCGTAGGAGGGGCACGCTTTGTGTTTTGGGATTGGGCAGTGAAGGCCAAAACGGACGGCGCGGAAATGACGTCAAGGCGCGCAAGCGCCGTCTGCCCTGCCGCGCGGTGGCTGCTGGGTGCCGCCCGCCTAGCCTTCCTTCGCCTCTCCCCTCCCCCTCCCCTCCCCGCCCCCTCGGCCGCTCCGCTCCCTGGCGTGACTCGGCACGGAGAGTCCCGGGAGTAGACGCCGCGGTCGCCGCCTCTTCTATCCAGGCCTCGGTCTTCCTGAGCGTCTCTGCTTCCTCTCCCAGGTCATCTTCTCCTTCAGTTTCGACGGCCACCCTGCCGGGTTCTCTGCGAGGATGGTGGGGGTGAAGCCGGTCGGGAGCGATCCCGATTTCCAGCCAGAGCTGAGCGGCGCGGGCTCCAGACTCGCCGTGGTCAAATTCACCATGAGAGGGTGAGGCCAGTCTCGAGCCCTGCGGGTCCCCGCCCGTCCTTCCGTCCTTCCCTTTCACTCTCTGTCGGCCCTGGTTTCCTAGCCGCTGTCTCTTGCTCCCGGAATGTCCGGCGGTGGCCGCAGCCCCAGGCAGCTGCCGGAATGAGGCCTCCTGTCTCGGGTGCGAGCCCCCATTGATTCACAGGGGACTCCCGGGCGGGCGCGGAGGCCCGGCTGGCCGGCTGCCCCAGCTCGGGAGATTCCTCCCCTGCTCCTTTTCAGTCCTCCGACAAACTCTGCTCTTGGGGCTTCTCTACCCCGGCCACCCTTGCCCGAGCCTGACCCCGTCTTCCTGCGGAGCCAGCTGTCATTGGCATCTCCGGAGCTACAAAAAGCTAATCCACTGAACACTTTGCTTCGATTCATGACCTGCATGTCTCGAAAGCCTTTGAAGATTGAGATGGGGCGATCCAACGAATAGCGTAGCTCTTAGTCCTAAATTTCTGCGAATGCCTTTTGAGCTCAGTTGACGTTGGTTTTGGGTGCTTTTTAAAATTATTTAAACTTTCTTTGTTCTCCGTTCGGCCACTAACTTGTAGCTTAGACTCCTCTGTGTGTGCGATCGCAACTGGTCACACACGACAGTCCGTATGTAGTGTATTTCAGGTGGACAGGTAGCCGGATGTCTTAGGTTGACCAGGCTCTGTTTTTCACTGATTTAAGAAGACAGGGATCTTGAAAAATGTTAACTGTCTTTGTGAAATATCAGTCAAATTATAGGTCGCAGAACTGGGGGACGTTTTATAATGAATGTGTAATAACGTTCCTGTGTAAGAATCTCATATTGGAACTCGGCATTGGGAACCAAGATTTCACGAATGTGTGTGTGTGTGTGTGTTTCACAGATCTCTCGAGTATGTCGATAGTATTTACTTAGAAGTATTAGAGGTCTCCGTTTAATTTTCCGTGACCCCTTGGCGTTATTTATACATCTAAGTTGGAGCACTCTACTACTGGTATCACTGTTGATGTAACACACTTTCTCTTCCGGGTAACTATATAAACACAAGGCAGTATTTTGGATTTCAGAGCAAAAAAACATAGTTTCTAGTACATGGTTCACTAAATGTTTAGTATATAAATGATGGCATTACAATTATGTCGTTTTAGGAAATGGATGCAGATAGATAGGAAAACAAGTTACGATTTATTTTTGGACCAGTCTCTCGTACGCCGAATTGAAAAAGGATAGTACCTTGGATTTCATATGGTGGACTAGAATACCTATATGATATGTGGAGTTTTGCATTTACCAAATTTAAAAGAATAAGTGATGTCATATATATTAAAACACCTAAAAGGAATGTCAGAGTTCTATAAATATGTTTTCTCATTTTTAGCAGTTTCGTAATGTCTGTATTCTTTTGTTTGTTTGTTTTCGAGACTGAGTTTCGCTCTTGTCGCCCAGGCTGGAGTGCAATCGTGCGATCTCGGCTCACTGCAGCGTCCGCCTTCCGGGTTCAAGGGATTCTCCTGCCTCAGCCTCCTGAGTAGCTGGGATTACAGGCGCCCATCACCACGCCCAGATGATTTTTGTATTTTTAGTAGAGACGGGTTTCACCAGGTTGGCCAGACTGATCTTGGACTCCTGACCTCAGGTGATCCACTCGCCTCGGCCTCCCAAAGTGTTGAGATTACAGGCGGGAGCCACCGCGCCCAGCCCTGTATTCTTAATAATAAGGGAATACCTGTAGTACATTAAGTATCTAGGCCACAGTGGAAGATGGAGGATATGATTTCAATAAGGAGTCTCACTTTTAGTTGATTTTTCTAATTCTGGCCAGTTGAAGCTTTTAAACTTTTGTCCTTCAATGATAGTTTTTCCCCTTACCATAGCGGTGGGAGAGATAATAGGGTAATAAATATTGATGTGAGAAAAGTGGAGAAACATTGCTGTGAAGGAAAAAATTTTTTTTTATCATCAATGTGATGTAATTTAAGCATAAGCATAACTGCAGACATTGATTGGTAAAGAACTGTTATATTTAAAAAGGTATTTTAGTGGAATTAAAATTATTTTTCTTTGTAGTAACTTAGGGAAAGTTAATGTTTGAATTTAGAGAACTTTTAAGTTCAAAAGCGTATTTATATTACATTTACAAATCTGGTAAGACTGTATTTACCTTTAATGTTCCTCGAACATACTGGCCATTAATACATCCTGTCTAAACTCATTGTCGATAGGACCCCAAATGTATGTATATGGCGGATCAGTATTAGAGTCACAACTGTATTCAGTGAAATCCTGTAAGAAACCTCTTAGATCAAAGCTAATGCTGTCCCAGTTTAGACTGAGGGCATAGTCTCTCCAACATCTATTTCATTTCCTTTTCAACCCTATTTTAAACCTATTTCTTTTTCTTAACCTCTATGCTTTATCCATTCTCAGTCTAAATTTTGCTAAAATGATACATAGATTGTTCTCCTGTGTAAGAATCTTTAGCAGCTTATAATAAAATATATGTAACATAAAATTGACCATTTTAACTATTTTTAAGAGTATAAGTCATTGGCCTTAAGGATAGCCAGCCCTCTGTATCTATGGATTCAACCAAATAAAGATAGAAAATATTTGGGGGAAAACATTGCATTTGTGCTGATCATGTACAGACTTTTTCTCTTGTCATTATTTTCTAAACAATACAGTATAACAACTATTTTACATAGCATTTACATTAGGTATTACAAGTAATCTAGAGATCATGTAAAGTATATGGGAGAATGGACACAGGTTATATGCAGATACTGTGCCATTTTCTATCAGGCCCTTGAGCATCTGTGATTTTGGTGTCTTGCTGGAGGTCCTGAAACTAACCCCCCATGGATACCCAGGCATGACTCTACATTCACAGTGTTGTGCCACCATCACCAATGTTTCCTAGGCCTTGAGACAGAAATTCTACATCCATTAAAGGATGACTCCCCATCCTCACTTCTCCAAAGGGACGAAGCTATACCCATTAATCAGTAACTTGCCCCTCCCTATTTATATCCTTGGCCTCTATCATGATTTCCATCTCCATAAATTTGGCAATTTGGGGCACCTAAGTGAAATCATAACAATATTTTTCCTTTTGACTTCATTTGGCGTAGTGTTTTCAAGTTTCATCCATGTCTTAGGATGTCTCTGAATTTCATTCTTTATAACTGCATAAAGTATTCCATTTATATATATGGCAAATTTCGTGTACCCATTCACCTTTTGATTTGCAGGAGTTCTTTATATATTATGGATGTTAATATTTAATTTGCAAACACTTTGTTCCATTCTGTGGGTTGTCTTTTTCTTGATGGTGTCCTTTAATACACAAGTTTTTAATTTTGATGAAGTCCAATTTATCTATACTTTCGTTGCCTGTGCTTTTGGTGTCATAGTCAAGAAATCATTACAAGATTCAGTGTCATGAAGATTTCTCCCTATGTGTTCAGCTGAGAGTTTTATAGTTTTAGCTTTTAAGTTTAGGTCTTTGATCCATTTTGAGTAAATTTTGGTATATGTTGTAAAGTTAGGGTCCAATTTATTTTTTGGCATGTGGATATCCAATTTTTCCAACACCGTTTGTCTATCAAAAACACTGTCTTTTCCTCGTTGAATGGTTAACACCTTTTTCCCAGAGTATTTTTTAAGGATTAAAACAGTCAATCCTTACATAGTCTTACTCTGTGTAAGGAACTTGTTTAAACTCTTTATATTGACTAATTCATTCCTGAGAACAACCCTAACAGCCATCCCTGTTTAACAGTTGAGGACATTGAGTCACAGAGAGATTAAATATCTTGTTTAATGTCCCATTAGTGAATGCATCATTTTAATTGTAAAGTGCTATTCTTGCTCTTCCCAGACTAAGGAGAAAAGAAGTGTGCATCTATCTCTGTGTATCTGCACAGAGCCTTACAATTTTAAGTATGCATTTCGTTGAATAATTTATACCTCTGTCTGCAATTCAGTTCACTCTCTGATATTCTTTCTGGTAACGTTTTTAAACAGGTGTCTCCAAATCTTTACTGACGCCCAGATACATTTTAGTGGTTATAAGTAGTACCAGTTTTGTTGTTGTTAAGTTACCAGGTTTGTAGGTAAGTGATTAAAAATATATACACTGTGTTGTCTGTCATCCCATCATCCCTGTCATCGTCGTCGTGTCCCCCGCCCCACCTTTTAAATAGCGTGAATGATTTTTGTCTTGAATTGATGAATGTATCACTGTTGTAATGTTTACTATGCCCTGGGTTTTTTGAGACAGGATCTTGCTCTGTTGCTTAGGCTGGAGTGCAGTGGTGTGATCATGGCTCATTTGCAGCCTCAACCTCCTGGGTTCAAGTGGTCCTCCCAACTCAGCCCTTGCAGTAGTTGAGACTACAGGCATGTACCACTGTACCTGGCTAATTTTTAAATTTTTTGTAGAGATGGGGTTTTGTCATGTTGCTTAGGCTGGAGATGTGTTGAATTTTCTTAAAGCAGATCTGCCTTTGTAGTTTGCTAGGGTTTGTTAGAATCCAAGAAGGATATCAATGTATATTAGGATGTTTAATTCTAATAGTTAACGGTAGCTTGTTCAAATAATTAATTAAATGGCTATTAAACATATGTTAATTATATACCAGGAAATTACTGAGGACTGAAAGTAGTTTATTGAATCACAGAGTTAGCAGGCCCAGTAGTCCATAGAAAGCAAGGGAGAAAATGTTAGCAAGTGAAGTAGGTAGCTCTAAGACTAGAGCATGTTGAAGCCCTAGTCTTCAGAGAACAGTGTTGCTTTAGTTTTTAAGTTAACGTTTTATTGAAGTACAACAAGTGTACAAAAATGTACAAGAAATAGCTCATTACCAGCACTCCAGAGTCCCTGCACCTTCCCAGTCTTCTTCCCATTACTCTTGAATTCTGACACTACAGGTCAGTTTTGCTTGTATTTGAACTTTCTAGAAATAGAACCATATAGTCATGTAGTCTGTCTGGCTAT